AGAGAGAGAGAGAGAGAGAGAGAGAGAGAGAGAGAGAGAGAGAGATCTAACAAACACACGCAGTTCCTCGACTTTTTTGATCACTCAACATTTTTTGAGATTGCACCAACACTGACTAAAAATTTAATAATAAGATTATTTAAAAAATTACAAATTTTTTAAATAAATTAATAAATTAAATAAATAAATAATATTCAATACGAAATGTAAATATTATTAATATTACGCAATAATTATTAAATTGTATTCTATAACTCAGATTAGTCAAGATTGTTGGCGCAATCATTTTTTCCTTTTTATCTTTTCTTTCGATTGGCACGCGTTTCTCGAAGCACGCTTTGATTATTCTACGTTGGTCATGTATTTTCTTGTTTCTTTGAAATTTGTAATGATGGACAATATATATTTAACGCGAAATTTTGATAAGTAAGAGTTTTTTTTTTGTATACAGAAAAATAATTTTGCATAAAAATTTTAATTATTCTAACTGTGCGTTTACGAAAATGTATGCAAAATGTAAATTTATTTAATTAGGAATCCATCTTTAATTTTATAATTATATAATGGTATATTATAATATCGTTATAATTCCATATAAACAGCTTAATCATGCCATATAATTGTATATAATGCCATTATATGATATGATTAAGTTATTTATATGGAATATTTCAGGATAATGATTAAAGCTTTTACATATAAATATCAATTATTTTTTTTATTGAATTGAATAAAACTAATAAACTTTTCCAATTCCTTTTGATCTTTTATTGACGCACTTATTAATTACAAAACTAACACTTCTTTTATGCTTTACATCTTTACATTAAAATTGAAAGCTTCTTACTAGAATCTTTGATATATTTTAGGTTTTATAAATTTTTTTATCATATTTCATAAACATTATTCTTATTAAATTTAATAGAAGCACTTTCTATGAAATTCATATTATTACATTGCTCAATCATGATCAGAAGACTTTAAATATCGCGAATAAAAACTGCTACTTATCACGTCATTTTTTAATTATGCAATCTATAATTATATGTTTCCATAATATTTCAATAAATAGATTACATTTCGTATTCCATTTCATTCATTTAATAATATTTTTGTTTTTGGCTATTTACGTTTTCTTATATTGCAAAAGAATCAAACTTTTCTTAAAAATTAATTTATTCTAAATTCATATAAATATCATTTCTCATTAAGATATACTATATACATCCGTGAATTTTCTAGAGTTATTATGTAGTAGCTTTCTCGGCACTTCGCGCAAACGTATGAATGTATAAAATTAGTGTAGCTCAGATCACATCAGCAACATCAATTTCGAAGCTCATAAAGATTTTGACGATGCCCATTGTTTCTCTTGCGCATTATACATTTCGCCATTTGCTCAAACGTGATTTTTAAGAATTATATTGTATAAATATCGAGAAAAATATCCTCGTTATCTACTTATTTGATGTTAAAATCATAATAAAATTATAATAAAA